CATCCTCGAGCAATGCCGCTGATCGTCTGTGAGCCTTAACACGCCGTATTCACGGTTGACCGCGAGTTAGCGGCCGTTTCCCTATCCGCGAACTTGGTACGCGCTCGGTATCATACTACTCTGCTCTTGACTCTATGCGTCCGCCAGATAAGACAGCTACATGAATAGCAAAATTTGCCAACTTGGCACGCCGGTGGCAGCGTCAACACTAAAAAAGTTCAAAGAGCGATGATTGCAATGTAATACGTGTCATATTCCGATCGATTAGCGAAACTCGGTCTGTATCCTCTGGCGAATTAGGGGTGATTTATTTCTTTTGCACTATCTATTCACCTCGGGCTCAATGGGTAACTCTTTTTCAGGTGAAACTTAGGGTAACAGAAAATATTATTTAAACCCTGACCCGGCAACACCCTCTGTATAGCACTTGCCACCTGTAAGGTAATCTCCTACTACGATACATTGCCAGAAAAGATAGTCTGTTCAACAAGCAAAGTATCATTCAAGATTGAGGATAAATACCTGCCCATAGTCTCTTCCAAAAAGGAAAATAGGAGTATGCCGTTTCATACGCAAGTCATTTTTTTCATACATTATTTTTTTAACCTGCATTATTAACATCCAGTAGGATGAGAAATTGGTCAGTAGACAGACCGAAGCGGATCTGCCTTTGCGCTCTTGTAGTGAAATCCTCCTTGAAAATATAGAAATATTCAGCAATCCCAAACAATTGGGCCCCAGCTCCGAACCCGAGACCTTTTGTTTTCATTCTTTAACCAAACGTTCATTTTTGCAGACGACGTTAAGCTTCTTGGCTCGCACCAGAGGGTATACCTCCAACTGGTTCTAGATGCGCTGCGAGCATCATCCGCAGAATGGGGTCTTCCACTGAACGCAGATAAGTACAAGGTCCTGCGAGCCGGGCGCGACCAAGAGGCTAAGGCGCGTTTCACAGGAGCCAGGAAGGAGGCGGCCATCTAAGTGATGCAAGAGATTAGGAAGCAAGGTGCCTGAGGAGATAACAGCGTCAAGAACCGTTACCGAGTTCAAGCTGAAGCTTGACGTAACTCAAGCAACAAAGTTGCCTGATTGTTTCTGAAATCGGGCCTCGGGTAGCAAATAACTCGTCCATCTCTGCTCCTGCCTTAATATTACGCTCCTATAACTTCAAATATCTCATCTTCATATTTCTAACTTTTTCAAACCCATATTCCTTCACAGGACATCACGCATTACACATTTATCAACATTTACCACTCACTACTCTTTCTCATGAGTATGACCCTGTGTGAGAAGAAGTTGGCCCGTACTTCCAACCTGGTGTGACTTTGTTGAAGTTTAAAGCCATGACCTCTCGTGTTTTCAGCACGAGAAATCGTAAACGAGTCATCTAGGTTGAGTTCCGACAGACCTCTTACAATTCTAAGTCCTTATCATCATCATCATCATTGTACAGCGTAATACAGTGAAGCGAACTTCAGTGATTGATGCGAAACTCATATTGCATACAGGGTAAGTGATAATGTGTAAGGAGGACAGAGATTGGACCTATTTTTAGGGACGGGAAAAGAAAGCGAACCTCTATGGTCAACAAACAGAGTACAAAGTCCAACTGTGCATACATACTATTTCAAGCATTTTGGTCTGATAAGAAGTAACAGCATGATCGCCATTGCTGTCGGTTCGCAGCCATGACCTTCAGTGTCTCTAACCATGCGGTTTCGGAGTCTTTTGAACCCCATCCCGGAAGCCGAGAGATATCTACTCTACCTAATCGCTCTGTGCATTTCTATATGCCTCGTCTCCATGCGGCTTTCTCCAGCTTGCAACAGCCACTGCGACTAAGGTGCGCTGCGGTAAGTGACCGTCGGATATACGCAAGACGTATCCTAACCAACGAAGCCTATTGAGCTGGATTCGATGCGCTAGCGAGTTCTTGTTTGAGGTATTCCCAAACACCCGATGACTTAATGCTAAGTTACTAATCCGCTTACTCCATCCAACCTGGGCCAGACTACATAGGCATCGATTGCCGAACACTGCTAAACGACGGGTGTCTTCTACCCGCAAATTCAAGGTCTCACAACCGTAAAGCAGAACTGGTCGTACAGTGGTGCAGTATACGCGACTTTTCAACTTTAGAAACACATCACGTCACCGCCACAGGTGTTTTAGTTCTGTGTACGCTGCTCGAGCCTTGGAAATGCGGGCGGTTATCTCCTTCGATGCTCTACCGCCGTTGGTCACGCAACTACCTAAGTAGGAGGAGAAGTCAACCA